CTGTATAAGCTTGGAGATGATATACTTCTTTTCCTTCTCCTTCTCCTTCTCCTTCTCCTTCTTCATTTTAGGGCCACATTCAGTGGTGCTCAGGACTTACTCCTGACTCTGCATGAATGGATCACTCCTGGGTGGGCTCGGGGGACTATATGGGGTGTGGGGGTCAAAGTAGATCAGCCATGTGCAAGGCAAGTACCTTGCCCACTTTACTATAGTTCTGACCCCAAAATAAACTGTTTCTTAGGAATTAACCTAAAAAGTACAACAACAGGAAAAGTACTGTCTTTATTATTCTGTTTCAAATATGGAAAAGTTACATAATTATACCCTCTACATCTGTACTTAGGTAAAATTTATCCTTTTGAGATCTACATCTCTGGACTGGAGCCATAGTTCAGAGGCTGAACATGTGCTTTGCATAAGGAAGGTCCAGTTTGATCCTTGGTACCACATGGTACCCTGAACACTGCCAGGTGTGGTCCCCCCAGCACCCAATTTTTTTTTTGGTTTGTTTTTGGGCCACACCTGGCTGTACTCAGTTACTCCTGGCTTTATGCTCAGGGATCACTCCTGACAGGCTCAGGGGACCATATGGTGTACCAGGGATGGAATCCAGATCAGCTACATGCAAGGCAAACACCCTACCCATTGTATTATCACTGCAACCAAAAACTAAATATTTTTTTAGTGTATATGTCTGTGTTAGTTTATTTTCTCTCCCTCATATTTGTTTATATAACTCAAATTTTCCAAGAGTAACAATTTTTCTGTGTTTATCATATTGAGTCTCCTGCCTCCATGCCTGGCTGTCCTCACCGAGGCCCCTTGGAGGGGGGCAGGTTGAGTTTCCCTCCCCACCCCAAGCAGAGCCCCAGCAGCTGAAGACCTCCAGAACCAGCCACAGCCATGCTGCAACCACTCTCCACATATCCGGACAAGCCTCATGCATGAAGGAACCAGCAGAGGAACCCAGACATGCGAGTCCTGGGGCTGAGATCTCCAAGCCTGCTCGGATTGGGACTGGGCCTTCTCTACCCAGATCCCCCATCTTCTAGTAGGTAGATGTTACACCCACCAGCTGCCACCGGCACCAGGTGGTCCCATCAATGGCCAAGACCCAGAGACTATAAAACCCAGCTCCCGGAAATGCACAGCCACATTAGTGGCAGCGCAACATTTTATTATCTTGGTTTTACTTTGGAGAACCCAGCAGGCTACCGAAAGTATCCTGCCCACACGGCAGAGTCTGGCAAACTTCCCGTGTCATACTCAATATGCCAAATACCAGTAACAATGATAGGTCTCATTCTCCTAGCCCTGCAAGTGCATTGAATATGGCCCTTTTAAAATTTCAGGGCTAGGAAGAAGGAGACGTTACTGGTGCCTGCTCGAGGCACTCAACAAACAACAGGATGATCATGATCCTGATCATATTGACATTTCAATTTTCAAGTAATTTTTTTGCTTTGTTTTTTGGGATACACACAGAGAAGTGCTTGGGGCTACTCTCAGAGGTCTTTGGAAGAGCATGCAGCCCCAGGGGTCAAACCTGGAGTTCCTGCATGCAATGGTATTGCTCCAGGTCTTTGAGCCATCTTTCTGACCCTAACTTTTATTAGTTTTATTAAATAAAATATTTTATTTAAAAAATATTTTATTTAAACACCATGGTTTACAAAGTTGCTCATAGTACAGGTGTTATGAGTTTTTGATGTTCCAACACCAATTCTACGCCCAGAGTGACCTTTCCTCCACCATTTTCCCAACTACCCAAACCTGTCCCCTTAGCAGGCACACAAGAATTTATTTTATATTGCTTGTTACAACTAAATGGCTAGTGGAGTTATCAAAAATACTTCAGTAAGGGGCTGGAGCGATATCACAGCGGGTAGGGCATTTGCCCTATACGCAGCTGACCCGGGTTCGATTCCCAGCATCCCACATGGTCCCCCAAGCACTGCCTGAGTAATTCCTGAGTGCAAAGCCAAGAGTAACCACTGTGCATCGCCAGGTATGACCCAAAAAAGGAAAAAAAAAACCTTCAGTAAAAGAAATATGTGGGGACTGAAGCGATAGTACAGCAGGTAGGGCATTTCCCTTATATGCCTTCCATGTGGCCGACCTGGGTTCAATACCCAGCATCCCATATGGTCCCCCAAGCACTGCCAGAAGTAACTCCTGAGTGCAGAGCCAGGAATAACCCCTGAGCATGACCAAGTGTGACCCAAAAAAGCAAAAATAAATAAAATAAAAAAGAAAAAGAAAATATGTGAAAATTGTTCTATCTCACCATGGGGTTGTCAAGTCCTTGTCTAAGGGTTGAGCCTTCTGCTACTGTTTCATTCGCTGAATTTAGTTGGCTTCTATGTCACTTTCCCATCTAATTTGGTGTGCTCCTACTGGAATTTCAATATTGTGGAATTTGGAGGTTCAGAAACTTCAGTATCGGTAGAACTGGGTTGATGAGTTGACATGACAGTGGCTGTGGGAGGTGGATGTGGCTGCCAGGGCTGCTGGAAGTACAGGGGCTGAGAGGGACACTGCCCACTCTCACTCCAAGAAGACTCCAGAGTTCTTAGCCTGGACACAGGAGTACTTGGAATTTTCATGGTTTGGTGTCTCTGCAGAGATTATTGGTGACCCAGTGGAGTTGAACTGTCAGCATGGCAGCAGTGGTGGGAAATGGCTGTGGCTTTCCCAGGCTTGGGCAGGGCAGGATCTTGGCCCACCGTGCCTGGAGTTCTCAGTGGGGGGACTCTTGTGCTCATGAATTTTAGCTGCTTGGCTAGCATCTCCTTGGAGATTTAATCATGAATCAGAAGTGTAGGCTATGAGTAGATGTGGTGGCGAATATGGAAGATCCTGGCCCTAAGTTTGTTTTTTTTTAATTAATTTATTTTTTTATTAGTGAAACACCATGAGGTACAGTTATAGACTTACAAATTTTTGTGCTTGGGTTTCAGTTATACAATGATCAAGTACCCATCCCTCCACCAGTGCCCATCCTCCACCACCATGGGTCCCAGCATCCCTCCCACCCCCCATGCCCCCCTGCCTTTGTGGCGGGCTGGCCCTAAATTTTAAAATAAATTCCTGGGGCTGGAGCAATAGTACAGTGGGTAGAACTGTACTATTGCCTTGCACCTGCCTGACCCAAATTCGATCCCCAGCATCCCATATGGTCCCCCGAGCACTGCCAGGAGTAATTTCTGAGTGCAAAGCCAGGAGTAACCCCTGTGCATCACCAGGTATGACCCAAAAAATCAAAAATATAAATAAATAAAATAAATTCCTGGGCCAGAGCGATAGTACAGTGGGTAAGCATTTGCACGTCACTGACCTGGCTTTGATGCCCCAGCATCCCGTATGGACCCCCAAGCACCACCAGGAGTGATTTCTGAAAACAGAGCGTGAGCATTGTCAGGTATGGCCCCCAAAAAATAAAATAAATTCCTTCCACTTCAGGAGATATATTTTGCTTTGTTTTGTTTTTCAAGTTTTTGATGTCCCAATTTAGTTTACTTCAATGTAGTCCCCCCCCCCCCTTGTTTTTGGTTTATTTGTGACCACCAAGCATGACCATGTGGATCACACGCAAAGTCAACAGTTTAACCCCAGTACTCTCTGGCCATCTGCCTTATTTTTTTAATGTTTTCCTCCTAGGAAACCACACACAGGATCAGTAGGAATGCTGCTCAGTTGCAGAGCACTTGCCTTGCATTTGTGAGGCGCTGGTTCAATTCTCAGCACCACACACACACGCGCACACACACGCACGCACACACATAACATAGAGCTTCATAAAAAGATAGCTCAGTGGGCAAGGCTCATGCTTCGCATCAGGAACTTCAGTTCCACTCCCAGACTACGTGGTCTCCTAAGCACAGGAGTTAACTCTGAGTACAGAGATAGAAGTAGCCCCCAGGCTGGTTGTGGAGGTACGGGGGTGGGGGATAGGTGGGTTGTGAGAACAAGAGATACAACCATCTCAGTATATAGTGTTTCATTAATTTCTAAATCACTTGACTTCTTTGTCTTGATTTTTCTCGCAAGCAAAGTGATCTAGAAAGATGGTGAGAAATGTATATGCTCTTATCTTGTTTTTGTTTTGTGTTTCTTTCTAACTCTGTCAGTCAAAGGATAAATCCTTTTTAGAGTTACTTGAGACATTATCTGTGGACTTTTGTCAATTTTTGTTAATGATGCCATGTCTTGGGCTGGAGCGATAGCACAGCGGGTAGGGCATTGCCTTGCAAGTGGCGAACATGGCAGACCTGAGTTCAATTCCTTTGGCCCTCTCGGAGAGCCTGGCAAGCTACCAAAAGTATCTCACCCACCCGGCAAAGCCTGGCAAGCTACCTGTGACATATTCGATATGCCAAACACAGTAACAACAAATCTCACAATGGAGATGTCACTGGACCCGCTTGAGCAAATCGATGAACAATGGGAGGACAATGACAGTGATGCCATGTCTAAAAACTATTACTCTTGGAGCCAGTGCCATAGTACAGTAAGTAGGGCACTTGCCTTGCTCTAACTCACACCTGTAGGTAAGCCAGACTCCTATCCTAGGCATCAAACCCAAAGCCCAGACACTACTCATGGTCTCAGCTGCTTGCCAGGGCAACCAAGACAACATGCTAGCCAGATCACTGGGTTCAATCCGCAGCACCACTTATAGTTCCCCAACCCCCACCAGGAGTGATCCCTGAGCACAGAACCAGGAATCTCTGAGCATTATCAGGTATGTTTCCCTGCCCCTAAAAAAGACTTGGTGGTCTTGTGAACCCCATCTTGGCTTGTAGATTTTGTTGGGGGTTCCCTTTCCATGGTGCTAGTGTTCTGCATATTGGTTGCTTCCTGACTGCAGGCTCATCTTTGCATCATTGCATTTGCTACCTGTCTCTGGCCACTGCTTCTCAGGTCACTGTGTCACATGTACAAAAACCAATGGATGTCAGAATTTCAAGCAAAACTTTTATTTATTTATTTTTTGCTTTTGGGTCACACCTGGCGATGCTCAGGGGTTACTCCTGGTTATGCACTCAGGAATTACTCCTGGCGGTGCTCAGGGGACCATATGGGATGCTGGGAATCGAACCTGGGTTGGCCGCGTGCAAGGCAAAAGCCCTACCCACTGTGCTATCACTCCAGCCCCCTCAAACAAAACTTTTAAAGCACCTCAATACATCAGTTTTGTTTGGGGTTTGGAAGTAAGATTGCCATAAGTAGGACAGTCTTTGCTAATGATACTTCTACAGCTGAAACTCAACGAGCAGAAAGCCTTGCTCTAATTTACACCTGTAGATAAGCCAGACTCCTAACCTAGGAATCAAATCCAAAGCCCAGACACTCATCACAGTTGCTTACCCAAGGCAACCAATACAACATGCCAGCCAGCTCATATCCAATTCCTAACCCCCAATAACCAGACAGTTTGTAGAATTTTAGTATATTTTCTCTCCATTTTACAATTTACAAAAAAAAAACTTGACAAAAATAACCTGCAAAAATAATTCCATAGGTTTCACTCTCCACCCCTCCAAACATCACTGACATTCCTCAGAGACCATCCTTTCCCTTCCCTAATCTCCCAGATGAAAACCTCTCCAAGGTGAAGGAGGGCCCCAATCAGGAGGCTCTCCGGCCCCAGGCAGATCCTTGAGGAAATAAATTAGCAGGAGAGGCAGGTGGCTCTAGGCCGTGCGGTTCCTCGCTGTCTCACACACCCAGCGGTAGAGTTTCTGGCAGACGTTGTCATTCCATCTGCCGTCCACAGTCAAGTGGGCGCAGTCCTCCCCTCCTCCGAGCCCGTGCCCGTACCAGTCATCAGGCTGATCTGGTCTCCAGTTCCTAAGAGACCAGAACCTTCAGCCAAGCCCCTGATGAGACCCTAGCTCAAGGGGCTGGCCGAGGCACACACTCACTTGAAACCCTTCTCGTAGTCTGTTCCGTCCACCCACTTCCAGGGCCCATTCTGGTCAGTGAGGCCTATCCAGGTGTCCACAGGGCCCATAAATTGCTGGACAAATTGCTGAGGAAGAAGAAGGGAGATGGTGAGCTCGTCTTAGAGCTGCAGGATCCCTGCAAAGCCCACAAGGGCCCTCACCTGCTCTCTCAGTGAGCCAATCACCACCAGGTGGGCATTCTCCAGCCGGCAGTAGTTGTCAGCTTCCGGCCAGGACTTGACAGAGCTAGAGAACCAGTAGCAGCTGCCCTCAAACTCCTTCCAGTTCACGGGGCAGCATGTCTTCTCAGAGACTGAGGGGTGCAGAGGAAGGGAAAGGGGCTAACAGGCTGCAGAGGTGAAGCGCGCAGGAGAGCTGGGTTGGTTGGGGGGCCCTCACCATTGCCTTGGAGGACAGCCATGTGACAGCTCAGGCTTCGAAGGCTGACCACAAACTGCTTCACATGGAGCAGCAGGGAGGAATGATCTGGGGAGATGCAGGCAGAGGTGGAGGGAAAGAACATCAGTGGGAGCCCTGGCAAGCAGCAAGGCTCTGTCATCTATGGACTGGGCCAGAGAGAGATGACAGGGGTTAAGGTGACACCTTTTGAGCCACTGAGCCTGGTTCCATCCCTGGCTCCACTCTCCACCCCCCACCCAGCACCACCAGGTGTGGCCCCGGAGCCTCTGAGTGCCACAGCAGTGCCCAGGTGATCCCCACCACAGTGCCACAATAAGCCTGGGCCCCTCGGGTATAGTTTGAGCCTCCCACAAACCTGGGTTGCCCTGAAACTTGCTCTGGGGCCCCTTTTCCTCTCTGACCTTCTTTCAGGCTGTGTTGCTGCTTCTCCACCTGTGACTCCAAAGATTTCATCTTTCTGCCCATACTTTCTCCTGGGGGAGAGACTGGGTCAGGGGCCCAGCACGCCTGCCCTGCGCCACCACAGCCCCTCGACACCCACCCCCTTACCCTGGATGTGCAGGTTCTTAACCTCGCCCTCCGTGGTCTTTGTGAAGTTGCTGAAAGTCTCTCTCAGAGTCTGCAGTTCCTCCTCCAGCTTGGAGTCTGGGAGAGAGAGGGCGAGGAGGGGACAAAGGGCACTGCGTCTACCATCACAGCTCTCACAAGCCCAGTCTCCCAGCCCACCCATCGGGGCACCCACGTTGGGATCCAATGACACAGATGACCAACAGCAGGAGGAGGCTGAGGCCCAGCGCGAGCAGCAGCAGGCGGGTACTGGAGCAGAGGCGCCGGAAGAGCGTCCGGGAAGGAATCAGCTCTGTCAAGGAAAGGAGTGGGGGGAAGCTGGGCTCAGGGGAAAAGAGGCCTGAACTCTGATCCTCACCTCAGAGGAGAGGAGGCTGCGCTGGCCCCAGGAGGGTCTTTGTAGATGAAGAAACCCAGGCAGTGTGTGACCCCAAGAGACCAAACAGAAAAGAGTCAGGAGCACAGCAAACCCCTGACAGGCCCGGCCTCTGCTGACACCCAGTGGCTAGACTGTGTCACTGGGACTTGGTGGAGGAAAACGAGCCAGCCAGCAGCATGGGGGTGGGGGTGGAGAAGAGAGTCCTGGCACCACCGCTAAGGAGGCAGAGAAAGAGGAGGCTTCTTTCTCCCCCCAAGAATCCCACAGCCCATTGGGCAGATGTAGGGAGAGAGCCCATGGAGCCCAGTTTCTTGTGAGTTGGAATCAGGGGCTTCTCCCCACTTCTCTCTTCCCCCACAATCCCCTCATCAAAGAGCGTCTGCCACCCCTCACCCCCCAAGAACTTTACTTAGCCCGGGACTCTCACACCTTCTCTCCAATGAAGAGAAGGCAACTTTATAATGTGGGAAATCTCCAGCTCTCTGTCTTGTCACACAAACTTCCCCCCACCCACACCCCCGCCTCAGACCAAATGGAGAGCATGCTCTAAGTCCTGTACACACATACTTGCTACACTTTCATGCTAACAGACACAGCAGAGGCTCACAGGGCGTTGGGAGAAGAAAGGAGGGAATATAACTTCTAGTTACCCCACACCCCTGATCCTATGCTGTCTCGAGGGTCCTGGAAAGCAGGCAGAAGGAGGTCAGGAGGTGTCACCGCAAGAGAGACTGCAGCCTCTGTACCCCCCTCACAAGGGGTGGCTCAAACCCCAAGTCTACATAAACAGAGTCTCCTCTGATCCTACATACATAACCAGATCCAGATCCAGGGACCTCTGAATGAAGCAGGAGCAGAGAAGGGGTGAGTCACCAAACGCCTGCCTTCCAGAAATGGGGATGGAGGTGCATCTCCTCACCTGTTGTGGATTGATGATCATTCTCCTCATTGTCCAGATGCTGAAAATCTTGATACTCCTTTGTCATGGTAGGGCTGACTGAACCTGAGACTAGGTCAAGTTTGGGGTTAGGGCTAAGATTGGGGTACAGGGTCTAACCACTTTCTAAGTGATTGGAAGTTTCATCGAGCTCCTCCTTGCCCTCGATGCATTCCCAGGCTTGATATACAAAAACCCATCAACAACCCCTACACACACACACACACACACACACACACACACACCCCTCAGGACCGGGACCTCAGGTCCCCTCCAATCCCTCCCACCCACACCTCAGTCCCCACTTTTCTTCCCCTTTTACTTGCTGAAGATCGAAAGGTTGAATCTCAGGTCTTGTTCAGATCCCAGACTAAGGAGGGGGCTGCACCCTGGAAAGTGGGGTGTATGGACAACCCTAGAGGGCAACGGGTAAAGGGGGAGGTCCACCCCTGGACTGCGTGTCCAAGCAGGTCGAAACTGGCATGTCCGGTGCCCGGGACTTTGGACAGTAAACAGAGGTGGCGATGGATTTGGAATACAGAGGACACGTGGGAGTCAGAGTGGGGGATGGGTTCCCTAGGGAGAGAAAGTCTCCTCTGTTCCCCCCACCCCTACATGCCTATCACTTATCACTGCAGTTTGGGGGTGCCTAGCCAGGAGGGAAGGGGGTAACGTGCTATTTCCCCTCTTTCTTTCCCTTTTCGCTTCAGCCTCTGAATTTCCCAGAATTTTTCGTTCTGTTTGTTTTGTGACCTCACCCACAGTGCTCAGGGCTTACTCCTGGCTCTATGCTCAGGGATCACTCCTGGCAAGCTCAGGGGACCATACATGGAACCAGAGTTGAATGCATGTCAGGCAAACGCCCTACCCACTGTACTCACGCCCTCCCAGAATTGTTGGTGTTTCCAAATACCCCTGACTGGAATCAGAGGGCCATGATCTCTACGCTTGTCTTTTTGGGGCCTGTGACCCTGACATCTGAACCCCAGCTCAAGATTCCCTAGCTCAGTCTTCTGGGGCACTCTCACTCCTGGGGAACAAAGTCCTCTGAGCAATATGAGGGCCATGAGAGCTGGCTTCCTGCCGCACTTTGCCTACACACGCCTTCATGGACTCCCCCGGTCCCTTCAACTGCCTCGTGCTGGTGTTGAGGCTCTGTACTTCCTAATCCACACACAGTCTGGTTGATAAGTAACGAGACAAGCCCTGGAGGTGTACTGAGTTACCCTGAATTTAAGGAGCATGGAATGGAGGCTGACTGAGCTCACAATCTATACATGGCCTCCGAATAAGATCCCGTGGTGAGACACCTATACTGCAGAATGTCACCCTCACAGTCCCACAGGGGTTCAGAGATGACTGTATCATAGAGTAGTATGTGTCTCTGAACAATGCTAACTCAGAAATTGGGCATATTCAAGATGTTTAAACATCTCTTTAGGCCCTAAATGTGTGGTCATGTAAATCCCACGTTAGAGAAAACTAGAGTCATGAGTTTTACATCCAATGAGATACTCTAGAATGGCTTTCAAAACATGGGAAAGCCCACATTTGTTTCGGTTTGGGAATTTTATCCAGTAGTGTTCAGGGGAACATAGAGTGCTGGGGATTGAACCCAGGGCTCCCACGTGCAAACCCTATACACCAGCCCTTTGGTCCACCTCCCCAACCCTCATCTGCTTTGAATGTCCTTTGGTCCACCTCCCCAACCCTCATCTGCTTCAAATGTCCCCCAGCCCCCACCCTATTGTTAGTTAAGTTACTGGGACTGTGGGCAGTCATTTTGGTGACTCTTGGGCTGTTGTATAGCATTCTCTGACTTCACTGTGTGTAATTCAGTTTATTCAGTTGGGTGCCGTTTAGCCTTGAAGAAGTAGGAAGCACCAGAGTGTGACGGATGCTGCTCACAGGGGTATGGAACTGGAAAAAACTGTATGCTTATAATCTGTACGTTCTTCTGTTTGTTATTCTGAAATAAATTTTCTTGAAATCTGGCTTCTACCCTATAACCACGTTGCCCAAAGTCTCTGATTAGAGAGCTGAAAATAGCCTCCAAATCCCTTAACTGCAGAATGGGGTCAGAAGTGATTGTCACTGGGAAAGCAAACTAGACTAAAAGCACAGGACACGAACTGCTCATTTGTAAGCAAGGGCCCTGAAAAATGCCAGAAAAAACTCTGGGATAGTAAAAAATAAAAGATGAATGGTGCCACAACGGTGTTTTATACACCTGGCAAACTTTTCCCTCTTTACATTTTACATTTATTCCTTTAAGAATATGGGCTCCAGGGGCTGGAGCAATAGCACAGTGGGAAGGGTGTTTGCCTTGCACACAGCTGACCTGGGTTTGATTCCCAGCATCCCATATGGTCCCCTGAGCATAGCCAGGAGTAATTCCTGAGTGCAGATCCAGAAGTAACCCTTGTGTATCACCGAATGTGACCCAAAAGCAAAAAAAAAAAAAAGGTATGAGCTCCACTCAATGCCTCTTTTGCAAACCACAACACCCAAAAGGAGAGAGAGAACAAAAGGGAATGCCCTGCCACAAAGGCAGGGTGGGATGGGGGGGGATGAGGGGTGGGAGGGATACTGAGACCCGTGGTGGTGGAAAATGGGCACTGGTGGAGGGATGGGTACTTGATCATTGTATAACTGAAACCCAAGCACAAAAATTTGTAAGTCTACAACTGTACCTCATGGTGTTTCACTAATAAAAATTTAAAAAAAAAAATATGGACTCGTCAGGGCAAGAGAGATAGGGCATATACAGCAGGTAAAGGCATTTGCCTTGCATGCAGCTAACGTGGGTTTGATGCCCGGCATCCATATGGTCCCCTGAGCACCACCAGGAGTAATTCTTCAGCACAGTCAGGAGATACCCCTGAGCATTGCCAGGTGTGACCCAAAATTAAAAATAAATAAAAAGAATATGGGCTGGATAGATAGTATGGAAGGTAAGATGCCTGCCTTAGATGAAGCCAGGAGTAAACCCTGAGCACAGAGGCAGTGACCAAAAACAAAACCCAAAAAAAAAAAAGGGCAGGGGTGTTGGAAAGATAGTACAGTGGGTAGGGTATTTGCCTTATACATGGCCAACCAAGGTTCACTCCCCAGCACCCCCAAATGAGCCCTAGAGTATCACCGGGTGTGACCCAAAAACAAAACAAAAAATATTTTTAAAGAAAAGGAGGTGGGGGTGGGGGTTAATATGCACTTTGAATTATGGAAGGTGCTCAGAGACAAAGCTTCATGTATTAATTTTTGATCTGCTTAATAACATGCCACAGACATAATAACATAAAACAACACCCATTTATTTGCTCAGCTCCAAGGGCAAAAGTCCACTGGGTTTCATGCTTGGGGCCACACAAAGGTGCCAGCAGAACTACATGACTGTCTGCAAGCGAAGAATTCACTTCCAAGTCTAGTCAGTTGCTGGCAGAATCAGTTCCTTGCAGGCATGACTCAGAGGCTGCATTTCTTTGCTGGTTGTCAGACAGAGGTCACTCTCTGCTCCTCCAGGCTCCCCACAGCCCACAGCACGGCTCAGCAACAGTGCATGGAATCCTCCTCATGCCTCAAATTTCTACATTCCTCTGAGCTTTGTGTGGAGTGTTGGGGAAGAAGGTGGAGGGAAGGGGAACTGAAGGTGACAGGACAGAATTAGGCTACTCCGGCTCTATGCTCAGGAGTGATCCCTGGAATATGTGGTAGTATAGACCATGCGTGGTACCAGGAATTGAACTAGGGCTAGCTGCATGCAAGGCGAGCACTTCACCCTCTGTTCTATCTCTCCAGTACCTCTGCACGTTTTTGTTTTGATTTTTGCTTGGGAGCCACACCTACCTGTACTCAGGCTTTCTTCTGGTTCTGTGCTCAGGGATCATTCCTGGAATGGCTCAGTGGGTCATATGTGGTGCCGGGGATGGGCCTTGGGGTGGCTGTGTGCAAGGCAACCTCACCCACTTTACCATCCTCTGGCCCCTTTTCTGCACTTTTAAAGGACTCATGTGGTTAGATTAGGCCCTACTAGGTAATCTTTCTGTCTCAAGGCCAATGGTGCATACAAAATGTATGTATATATATGATCAAACATATAAAACATTAGCTATATAGAACATTTAACCATGAGTTAAAAGGCTCATCATACAGATTCCAGGGATGACAGTATGCCTACCACATTTCACACAGACTCCTAGGTTCAAAGTCCTCTCTGTATGTGCTTTGCATCCTAGGGAAATGTACTGGGAAGGGACGGATGAAAGCACATGTGAACAGAGTAGGTTGCAAACCTAGGAAACCCACATCCAGGCAATCAAGGTTCCAGATTAAGTATCTACAACATTAATCTGGAGAAACAGGATTTCCTAGTGGTTAGTAAGCAGGTAACTGGGGGAGGGGAGAGGGGTTTGTGAAGAGCAATACTACAGTGGGTAGAGGGGCTGGAGCAATAGCACAGCGGGTAGGGCATTTGCCTTGCATGCAGCCGACCTAGGTTCGATTCCCAGCATCCCATATGGTCCCCTGAGTACCACCAGGAGTAATTCCTGAGTGCATGAACCAGGAGTAACTCCTGTGCATCGCTGGGTGTGACCCAAAAAGCAAATAATAAATAAATAAAAATAATACAGTGGGTAGAACACTTGCCTTGCATGCAGCCAACCTAGGTTCCTTTCCCAACATCCCATATGGTCTCCAGAGTCTTGCCAGGAATAATTTCTGAGTGCAGAGCCAGGTATAAAACCTGAGAACCATAGGGTGTGGCCCAAAAACCAACAAAATAAGTAAAAAATAAAATTATGGGAGCCAGAGTGATAGGATAGCGGTTACAGCATTTATCTTGCAATGTGGCTGACCTGGGTTCAGTCCCTGGCGCCCCATATGGCCCCCGAGCCCAGGTGGGAGAGATCTCTGATACTGGCATGATGGGGTTGAGATCTGAGGTCGGGAAAACTATACACATGGAATTTGATCATGGCTGATTGTAAAGTTAGTTGCTATGAATAACTATGTAAATTACAGTACCTCAATAAAAAAATAAATAAAAATAAAATTATGTGGGTCAGCCCAGGGGTCAGGATTGATCTAAGTTCGGTCACAGACTCTGGGGCACTGCCAGGGTAGCACTGGATGTCCACAGTACTGCTGGGTCCAACACTGCCACAGTGCTGGGCCCCAAGCATTGAATCATCTGGCCTTCCTCTCTGGCCCCCTTGTATTGATGGGAGTCTGAACGCTAGTTTGTAACTACAGAGCAGGAACTATGGTTCAGCAGGAAAGCATGTCTGACATGTGTGAGAATCTGGGTTTGATGCCCACAAACAAAAAAACACGGTCCTCCCGTTGTTCATCAATTTGCTCGAGCAGGCCCAGTAACATCTCCATTTTGAGACTTGTTACTGTGTTTGGCATATTGAATACGTCACGGGTAGCTTGCCAGGCTTTGCCGTGCGGGCGAGATACTCTCAG